AWTTGACACGGATATCAGACACACACTTTGAATACATTTGTCGATTTAAGTGGCCGTTCGGTAAGGTATCAAATTCAAATTCCATGAAAACCTGGAATCTTGGATTAAGCAAAATACGAAAGCCATTTTATTACTGATCTATACCTCAAACAGGAACTACTTACGTGGACATGAAATCACCGTGTCCAGTCCGAATTGCTGGACTTAAAAAAATACTTAATGGATTAATAAATGAGCCTTAATTCTTTTTAGCCCTATGTAAGACGGGGTTAACACTCGAAATTTACTCGTTTATTATTTCTTATAAGTAATTGTCTACAATTTATAGAATATACCTTTTTTAYCTTGAAACTTGGCTGTGAAATACCTAGAACTTTACACCTGGAAGTTTAAACGTGAATAGTTGTTATTTATATATACGCAGATAACTCGTATGGAAAAATGCAAACTCCCTCAATGGAATTAATGAACAMAAATTTKAAATTGCAAACCAAWGATTTAGCTAGCGGCTGATRAATAATGATTTACTTGGATTACTTGAAMGAAAAATAAACTTTTATTGTGATTAGTACTTCTGGAAATGTAGTCTATGCAATGAATAGGGCAAAAAGTCTTTCTGAAGTCTCGAATCATTGCATGAGCAAGTAGSATTAAAAATATCTTCCAGAGTTTCCAGTAGCACATTTTAGTGACTCGTTAACTCGACAGTCATTCTTTGAAAAAAAAACATTAAAGTAAATAAATTGACTACAAGTCTCCATTAATTAGTATATAAAATATGATAATAGCGGCTCTAAGTCATATATATGACAATGAATACACCACTGTGTGCAGATATTAAACTACTGGAACAAAATCTAATAGTGAGTTTTATAGCCCACTGGACGCAAAGGGAAACAATGGCATGAAAGGCTACTAGTGTGGTWTTAATCTACTTTATCTGAAGCTTTTTTGATCTCGCACTAGTAGATATTTTAAATTTCTTTCGAGGTGCTTTTAATGGCTAAAGAGGAAATAATAAACTTACACTGATTATTACAGCTGAATACTACTTGAGATGCAAACTCAGCAGTCATTTAATAACTTTTAGATTTTACAACTGTTTGTATTCCATGCTTTACTCTAAGGTATTTTAACAAGAGCTTTAGGTATAAGCAAGTGCTAGTTGAAGCAAAGATCTGTAGACTATGTAGTTGCCGTTATTGTTGAGTATGCGGAAGGTCTCTTTTTATACTTGTACTTGTAGATGTTTCTGATTTACATTCGCTTGTTCTTAGATTCCAATAGATTTTTGCTTTCAGTTGTTTCATGTGTGGTTTTGCTTATATATGATATACTTGACCAGGGATCAACTTAGTTTTGGATCAAGGATCAGGACTCTTTAGCTTTGGGATCGGGATTGAAACTCTTAGGAACGTAATCGGTGAATGTTTTCAAAAAAGAAAAAAAACGTTGGAACATAGCAGAGATCAGGAATCAAATTTGAAAGGAAATTTAGTAATCAGATTCGAAAATGCTCTTAAAAATGTGGAAAGCAATGATCACGTGATTAGTTTTGACGTTTGGCGTAGGCAGTGCACGTCAATCAATCAAATTCTCTGAATAAGAGCGTGGTGGCACTGTAAATACCGAGCATATGACATATTCTCAAAATGTTTTTTTTTTGGCTAGTTTCAATGGCGAAAAAGATTCTGGCTTTTACTTTTCCATGCATGTTTTTAGCAGTAATGGCGCCAGTGTACGACCAATCAACTTCGAGAGAGCCTGATCATATCAGAGCTACAAATATTGCATAGGAAGAATTGAAAAATAATCCAGTTCAACATCAATGCAATGAGAGAGAGCTTAAAATTAGTAAATGTAACATGCATGCGTGAACTTGAAAGAAGATGTGGAAGATCAAAATCCGCACGAAATTTTCCTATTCTGCCAGTCTCCTCAATTATCATACAGGATTCTCAAACGAATATTTATTCATTTATAGGACTCTCTTCTTAATGGTGTACATAGATTTTTGCGGACCTTCTGACCTTGGAACCTTGAAATGAAAAGAATTTTATTTAGCCTGTGTTGATCCCAGTTTGTTACTGCACTTAACAAAGCCATTATTTCCGAGTCTGCACTATGCACGGTGCGGTCGGTTAACGACTAAGTGATTAGAAATACTGGAGATCATTCAGAGAGCTTTTTAATGGAGACATTCACAACGTGATGAAAATAGCACTAAAATCTATTGTGTTTATTAAAGCTTTAATTGCGGCGAGATTTCAAAAGCAAACAGCATGGAAATGTTTATTTTAATGACATGGAAGACGAGGTCCTGGAGTTTGTGATATCACATATCGGTACAAATTCTTTAGAATTCATTGGAAAAAATTTACTCCATCTTTTTATTAACTACAATTCATCTTTTTGGCCGAGACATACTCTTCTACAGGATGACCCTAAAACCAATTTTTCCCCGGGAATGCAATGGAAATCAAAGGTCTATGTTGAAAACTGAGTCCTTTGCTAGTATTTGGACGTCTTAATGGTGACGACTGAAAATCTTATACGACCTCGATGACGAAGTAGACAGACCTTATTCGACTGATTGTGAATGTTCTAATTGTATATTTTTAGTTGGCAGTCCGACAGGCACTCTTTGAAAGAGCAACTAAATTAATTCAGAAGTACACAGCTCTGCCGCTCGCCTGCTAGTCANAATAGCAATAAAATCCTGGAACTAAATTTAATAGTCCTTATAATGTTACAGCCCAATGGACACAAAGGAAACAATAAATTGAAAGACCTCTAGGGTGGGTTTAATTTATTCTACTACTTTTTCTACCTCACGCTAGTAAAGTTTTTRATTCGGGWCCTTCGAAGTCCTTAATCATTTTCTAATGACCAAAAGTGAAACAATAAACTTGAAATTATTGCAGTGATTACTGCTTGAAACAAGAAGATGCAAACTCAGCAGTCATTTCATACTTTTTGAATATCACATCTGTTCGTATCCCATGCCTTACAACAAGATATTTTAAGAACAAGAGGTTTAGGTATAAATAAGAGCTATTTCAAGAAGAGATCTTCACTTGGACGAGCGCTTTATGCAACAATCATCCAACATGTCAGCAAGAATCCTTCTGGCTCTCTTCTTGGTTGCCGCTATTTTGGAGACTATCAACGGTACTCCTCACAGACCTAGAAGTAAGACAGATTTGAAAACAGTTTTTGTTATCACAATCATGCATTCATGAAAATGTTATCTGCAGCAAAAAAAATAGATGCAAGTCATTCCATCTGCAAAGTTGTTTGAAAATTCATTATTCTTATAATCAATTATTGATATAAATGGTATCATAAACTGATCGTGGTTTTCATTAATATTTCTTAGACCCTCCGCCATCTGTTAATGATTATGAAGTCCAAGGTAACTATATACACCACATTGAAATAACTCTACGTGGAGATTTCTAATTAGAAACACACCAATGCCTAATACTTCGCACATTAACTTAYTTCCTTATTTATTAGAACGACGCAGYCCCCCAGCAAAAYCTCCAACACAAGTCGAAGACGAAGCCAGCGGTAATTATACATTGCATAATGCATTTTAGGCTAGTGTACACTAATAATTTATTTTTTTACAGCAAACAATTATCGTAAGTGTTAACAGTCTGCAAATTCACGATGATACCCACTATTGAAAATCGGATCAGTTTTAAGTCTCGGATCAGATGAAAGGTCTCTAAACTGATACAGAAATTAAGCATTTCAAACTAAAGAATTTAGTAAAATATTGTTATGCTTGTTAAAAATGATGACCCATGCTGTCTTATTATTTTATTTTACTTTATTTTAAGATAAACAGATTGATTGATTGATTGATTGATTGATTGATTGATTGATTGATTGATTGATTTCATTTGATTGCGTGCTTCCTTTGTGAACTGGCAAAGTGTTCATACAATGCCAATATTTGATAATGTTTAGATGAAATAATAATTGATGACATGAGAATGAAACGAAATCAGTTCCACAAGGACACAAAAACCCGTCAGAAGCGTATGGCTTGGAGCACCGATAACAAATGGCCAAAAAGTGGATCCACCGTTACAATCCCATATACCAATAGTGGTAAGTTATTTCTCGCTTTCAGTATTTTCATCAACGCCGACACTTAAATTACGATATGAAATGAAATGAATATTTGAGTGTCTTCTTTTTAAAATAATTAAAAGAAATCAAGATGAGCATGTGCATTAGAGATGTGAATTTCGTATATTCAACGTATCAGGAGAAATGGGCACTTCTTTCCTTCTTTCTTTTGATTGCTTTCTTTTGATTAGCTTTTTCAATTATACTTTTTTTGGAACAGTGTGCAGTGCTAATTTATGTTATTTGTTTTATCATTATCATTTTTCTCTGTCGTGCAGTGCACGAGCTGACTTTCAAATTTATCTGAACTGTTTGTGCATAAAAACGAGTATCAAGATATTCTTTATTGGTTGTCAATATTCATATTGTTCTTATTGACAGGTGCCAATGAAGAAGTTATAAAAAGAGCAGCGGAGGTCTTTAAAAGCAAGACATGCATTCGACTCGTCGCAAGAGGCTCAGAGAGCAATTACCTCAAGTTCCAAAGTGGAAGCACGTAAGTACAATACAGTATTGTTTTGTAACAACAGGCAAAACTATTAAAGAAAGCAGTAAGTTAACATCTTGTAGTGGAGGCTCCAATAGCAATATAGAAGAGAATGACTGTCTAGTACTACTATTTCGCTATGAGTCTAATTAGATGTACGCGGTTTCAAGGAACGTAAACACAACATCTTTTATATTGACTTGCCAACAAATACTTATTAAATCTAATATTTAGCTTGAGAAAGCTATACAAAAGAAATGAAAAGTTTATGAAATTTTATTATTAAGTACTCTCAAAGCATTACTCGTGACTATAATAATTCCTATGCTAATATCATACCTTCATAAAATACTCGATTCTGATTGGCAGGCGAGCCGTGAATCTCCTAATTCGTGCACCAATTACTGAATTGATTATATCCATTTTGAAATCACAAGCGAATTGTGCAATCTGATAAGTTCTTAGCAGGATGATTTCAGCCTATATAAATTGCACAATTTTCAGTAACCGCGGAGCCGTCAANAGTTTAGTTTATAACATTGTAAATATAATAAATAACATGCATATTATGCTTCCCGAGTGTTTGTTTATACCAAAAAAACACTACGAAACAGATTTGACTAACCGATGCCAAGGCCTTTCCTCCTTTCGGAAAAAGGACCTGCGAACGAGTTTGATTGAACGTGCGAATGCGCGAGAACCCTGTGGCGCTCCATGAAAAGTACTACTTACTTTATGATATATCATTTTTAATTCGGAGATTGCGTAAGCAATCTAAGAGACAATTTTCGCGGAAATATACCTGACTTACGTGGAGTATACATCGTACTTAGTCATTTTGAAGAAAGTTAGAAAATTTGGATGGATAGCGAAACAAGTTTTGTAGCCGAATTAGCCGGCGAATGTTCAACAGATCTAGACTGCGATCGTAAGTTTGTTGATGATACTACAGCAATACAATGTTTTGGCTGATCATGATAAGCTCTGTGATACACCGTTTTCAATTTCATATTCTGTTATTAAAGTTTTTTTTCAAAATCACCCTACAATCTCCGAGTTGTGCTGCCATTGGCAGCTTGTTTGTTCTTGTCTTTGCAGACAAGATTATAGCGATTAAGACTGTGATTTAGATAGCGACGGCAATTTAATTTTGATAACTATTTTTATAACGGGTAACGACTTACTGTTAAACCAGGGTCTGAATGGGGTTAACCGACTAGCGACAAATGGACAAAATAACTACTGACTAGCGACAAATTTGAACCAAATTTGCTGACTACCGACATTAACAAATTTACTGACTGGCGACATTTTCCAATATTCAGAGATGTTAGCTCCGTGAATACAAGCTTTTTTTAATTTTTCAACCAACTACATTCGAAATTTTCCGCGGGAAAAATAAATTTTGCTTCGGATTGGCTTCTTGAAGTTGTGATGAGCCACTCTATAACTTGAAGGGCATCCAATTGACCAATCAAGACTCGAGCATTCAATTGTTGGCATTTTAGAAAGAATTCTGCTGGTATAAAGCACCGTTTTAGATGCATTTAAACTTAATGTTTATCAACATTTTTTTGAATAACCGACTACCGACAAATGCCTAGAATTTTAACTGACTAGCGACAAATGCTTGAAATTTTAACTGACTACCGACATTGACACCCCCCCCCATTAAGACCCTGTTAAACAAGGACTCGAGTTTGAAATCTCACAAGTTTATCTAAATTTTTGCATATTTTACACACAATTGAGGCTAAAATAATGAAATAGGAGATCGCAAAACTCGACTCTTATTTCTATATACGATGTCGAAGGCGTGAATAATAACGAAGGTGTTAACGGTAATAACGGCATGGATGGTGGTTATACTTTGGAGATTGCGATGGCAATGTCGACATAGTACTTGTTAAGTATAGTTAAAAACAMGAGGTGTGTTTTATCAGGTATAAAGATTCGGGCCGAAGCCTCTTTTTATACCTGATAAARCACKATCTCGAGTGTTAAAAAACTCGAGATCATAAAAACGGCTTAAAAAACTCCAAAGCAAATTTGAAACTCAAARCMGTTAGGATGGGGCAAATTGATCATGCGCGAATCTCTTTACAAAGCACTCTTGTAGTAGATATTTTTTTCCTTTCTTTTCCATTAATTAGTTTTTGTAAATATTGTTATTACGTAATTAGTTATTCCTTTTTATAGTCTTGGTTAATGGTTGGTGTTTGAGAATAGCCTGTATCAGTAGTGTATGCAATTGTAAAATGGAGGAGGTTGGTTATATAAGTAGAATATTTATTATAAATAAACTTTTATAACATCAAAAAAAATCAAACCTGAGAC